AGCGTCACATGGCTGCCATGAAATGGCCGTGGCCGACCTTATGGGCCGGGCGGCTGCTCGGCGGCGGTACATAGGAGGCCCCGGCGGCGAGGCGGGGCGTGGTGGCGGGGCGTGGCGGGGCGTGGCAACGCGCGGCAACGCTGTATCGGCGAGGCAGCAGCAGCGCTCTGGGGCCCAACTGCAGGGCAGGGCCGGGCGCACCGAACCGGCGCAGCGTGGGGCGCGGCGTGGCGCGGCGGGGGCGTCGCCGCGGCCATTGCCTGCCGCCCCGCCCCGCCCCCCGCGGGTAGGCTATGAGAGCAAGCAATAAATGCAGCGCGTCGCCTGGCGGGGCGGGGCGGAGCGGGCAATGAGTGAAAGGGGAGGGAGAGGAGGATGTACACCGGAGGGGCTGAGGCTGAGCCGCCGCGCGGCGCAGGCCAGGCAGAGCGTTATGTAAACGCCCGACGGACATGGCACAAAGGACGGGCTTAGCCACGCTCTCACATCCTCCCGCTCTACCACCACCATCACCGAGAGAGTCGCGTCGTCGGCCCCCTGGCTTACGCAGCCGTCAACGTCGGCGTCAGCTCCCCTCCCGCGACGCGCACGCAGGTCGCCTCCTCCTGGACACTGCATGTCTGCGTCGAACACGCGCTGCCGTGCTGCATTGTGCATCACGCAGAGGGAGGAGGGGTGAGGTTCGCAACCCGCTCCCGCGATCAATGTTTAACGCATTCGGGGGGTGGGGGTGGGAGGTGGGGACACCACCGCTGCGCAGCACGGCTCCCCTGGGGTCCGACTACCACCTCCACGACGATCGTTAGCGAAGACATTACCGCCATCCGTCTCATGCAAAAGCAGCACTCGATTCATTTTTCAGGCGGTGTGTGTGGTGTGGTGCAGGGGGAGGGGGAGGGGAAGGGTAGTCACCCAGGACGTCACGCGACAGGATGAGACGCAGAGGGGATCAGCGCACGGATCCTCCCTCCGGCAGATCCCCTTCCCTTGGCAGGGCTGTATAGTCTGAGCCTCTGGCTCATGAGCTCATGACGAACCAAGGAGAGGCACACAAGCACACAGACAGATCATTCATGGCGCATCTCATTTACAGCGGAATAAGCAAATTATTCCAAACATTCTACAATGTAAACATTCAAAGAACTATTAATATTTGCTAATTAGGCAATATTTCGTGAATTGGCAAAACTGCAATTATGTGAGAAATGTGCACACGATGTACTCCTCGTTGTACGTACACGTTATGTGGTTTTCAGTGGGGAGTCCACTGACCCTAGCCCGATCGATGGCCCGACCGCTCCGCCGCACCTACCGAGCTGCACCACTACTGCCACGGTAGTACTTATCGACAGGTTGCGTCGACAATGAAGAAAAACGCAACCCCTTCTGGTCATTTGTCATGCCACCGCGCTTCTTTCTCTTTTCCTCTATCGAAGCGGTAAAGGGGAAAACACACACTTTGTTGTTGTTGGGGAGGCCGGTCGTGGTAAGGGAGGAGGAGGGGGAAGATCATTTCGCGGAGCAGCAAGTCCACGAGCGTGTACTGCTTCTCCACCTCGCGGCCGCGCCGCTCACATCGAGAAAGTGCGTGCGCTCGCGCCGCGCGAGAGTTTCCTCCGCGAGTTCTCCCCCGACTCTTTTGCAGCGACAGGCCTGGCTCACTCACGGCTCGATCGGCGCGCAGTGCAACAGCAGCAGGCCGGGCCCGGGCACGCGGTCTTTCCATCAATTAGTAAGTTGTTTCTGCGCGCGAGGGAAGTCCCATTACCGCGGGCAGCCACCACAACGCCATGGCGGCGCCCCACGCTACGCCACGCCACGCCGTCGGACGCATTCCTCCGCCCCCTCCTGCTACTGCTGTTCACCCTCCTCTTTTTCACTGCTGCTGCTGCCCTTTTTCGCGCGATCGTACTTCCGCGCGCGCCGCACAGCCGTCGACAACCTTTCGCCCGGGGAAATGACTGCGAGCGGCCGCCGAAAGAGGAGGAGGAGGAGGAGGAGGAGGAGGAAGGGCGCCCCGTCGCGACTGCGCGGGAGGTCGCCGCGGCGGCGGCGGCTGAGAGAGAAGGAGAGAGACAGGGAAAATGGGAGCTCGCGGATATTCCGCGGCGCGCGATGCGCGCCGGACCTCGCCGCGGGCACGCTTCCTAATTAGAGCGTGAGAGATGAGGTGGAGCGCGCTGGCAGCAGTGCGACAGAGAGCTTATCCCCGAGCTGACACCGGCGGGGCAGGGCGGGGCGGGGCAAAGCCGCCGCGGCTCCGACTGGACTACTTCCGCTCGCAGTGTAGCGATGTGGGTCACGGCGGCGGCGCGGGACGGGACGGGGCGGGTCCGGCGGGCGACACGGGCTGTTTAGCGAGATGCACCGGCGGTGTGGTGGGGCGGACGTACACTACGCGGGCCGATTCATTGTCACGGCTGCTGCCAAAACCTGCGGCTAACGGTGCGGGGTAAAGCAGGGGGGGGGGGGACGAGTACCAGAGTGGGACTCGGGACTTTGGGCACGCCTGCTGGAGCTGGGGAGCCCAAGCAGCGCTGGAGAAGATGAGGAGATGAAAAGGGAAAAGGGAGAGAGAGAGGGCGGGAGGGAGCGGGAGGGCTCACCGTTACCTAACCTCAATCAGGGCTGGCGGGCTGCCGCGCGGCCGCGCAGCGCGAGCTCAGCGACCGTGTAGGGAAGGCCGAGCCAGCCGAGAAGCCCTCGAGAGCGACTGTTGGAATAACTCGTACAGTGTCACATCGCACGTCTTCTCCTCCCCCTTATCCTCATTTCCCCCTCAGGTTCGTGGCGCCAATAAGGCAGCGCCCAGCAACAGCACACCAGCAGGGGGGGCCGGCGGCGGCGGCGCCACTAGACGTCGTGGGGCGTAGTCGCAGTCGCGGCGTCGTTCAAGAGTTGCCGGCATTCAAATGAAGCCGGCGCCACACAGACACACACACACACACATCACGACTCCCCCGCAACACACACGGCGCGGTGCGGCGCGGACCGGTTGGCCCAGCCCCGCGCGCCCGCCCGCCCTTGCGCGGCCCCGCGTGGGGCTCGCCGCGCGCAGAACGGTATCCTCTGTGCGAAGCGAAGCGCACGGCGGGAGAGGAAGAGGAGGAGAGCCTGAGTAGCAGCACGGCACGGCAGGTGGAACAATGCAGGCACACGCGTGCACGGCGCGCGCGCAACGCGGCCGAGTTCCAAATGCGGCTTAAACGGCGGTATTTTTCACACCTTATTCGCGGGCGCCTGCTTTGAGAGGCCAAGGAAGAGTCAGCTCCACCCTGGCGGCCCTCCTTGGTTGTTGAAAGTAACCTTTCGGGTAACAAGTCAACTATGTCCTATAGCTTAGGATGCGGCCGTGGCTGCTCGCGCCGTTGGCTAGTTCGTGAACGCCCCCCCCCCCCGCCAACCCCATCTCTCTAGCGGCGCCTTGCTTTCGTGACTCAGCACAGCGACAGCTCATTTTCCGAAGTGCCCCCCGCGGCCCCCGCGCGCGGCTCCCTGCCGCCCGTGTCGTCGCGGAGGTGAGGAGGACGCCGCCGCTGCCGCCAGGATAGGGAGGGCGAGGAAGACGGGGAGAGGAGAGCAGAAAGATTCCGGCCACGGCCTGGGGGAGACGAGGCGAGGCTGGCCATCCAGCTTTACAGTTATCGCCATACCGCGGCCGTGCCCGCCGTGCCCTCCGGGGGAATATCGGCTCCCCCGACCAACATCGCCGCCTCTCTGACGGTCCATTTTATTATTTTTCGCACGACCCGTCCCGGACCTCAAAGTACGTACTTTGTGGCGCGCCCTCTGGCCATGCGTCACCGAGAGGGGTTCGTCGGTCGCCTGTGAAACATGTCCAAAAAGATTCGTTGGCCGTATCTCTCGTAGCTCCACTGGCTCTTCTCTCTCGGCCTTTACAACTCTGAAAGTCATCTTGGTCGTGCCCAGCAGCAGCAGCAGCAGCAGCAGGAAAAGACTCGCGGCCGCCCTCTCATCTCGATCTGTATTTCTTCTGAGTCCCTCCGGCGGGCGCGCGGGGCGGGGCGGGTGGCGGGTAGCAGGACGTTTGTGAGGCCGGGGCTCTGCTGCTGCATAATGTGTTCTTTCGCACTCCACACGCGCGCGCCATGCTGGCGGTGTCTTTTCTCTCGGCCAGCTGTGCGGGCCCAGTGCGGGGGTCTGAGTCTGCCTCTACGACGGTCTACGACGGCCCCGTGCCCCCCCCCCC